CTCTATTGCATAATAGCTTAACACTGAAATGACTTAATGCAATGTGAGAAGGAAGGTAATGCTGCTGAACAAAAAACAAGGTCTGCGCCGTACCCTGACCTGGCACCTATTTCAGTCACGTTGAGCCAAGTGATTTAGTCCTCTGCACTACGTACAGACTATTGGTAACATGCCACCTCTTTCATCAACTCTGAAAATACAAGTGTTAATCTTCTATTTTCAAAGTCACTATATATCAACCCAAAACTACTACTAATACTAGCTCTTACGTCATTTTACAGCTTATTAATTATATGTTGATACTTCGTCTCCACATCAGCCCAGTGAATAAAGGTTTTGTCATGGGTCACCGACTGGGTTTCTCAGGTCAGTGAACCACTGGAGGAGAGCTCTTAATAATGCACTTTGCAAGGTGAGCTAAGTTACAATATCACTGGCCTGCAACAGGAAGGACGGCCAGAGTGTGGGTGCCTACTGATGCTAAAATGTCTCTCGATACCCACTAACACTCCGGGTTGTTACTTGTATTGACTGCATAGTCTCGGTTGATTAAATGATGTGACCCTTTCGTGTCCACACACGTAAACATATAAGCAAGAACATTCAAATTCATTCGTAAGCACATGGTCTCACTGAACCCCTGGGGCTAGATATCACAGACCTCGCCACTGGAACTAATAGAGCACTTCCTGCAGCAAACTCTTGAAGCAGCTGCTCTGTTCTGTGTGTATAGACGCATGGTGAAACAGGGGGTATTCTCTGTAGTACGCAAGGGTCACGGTGGTCTGTTTCTCTATGTATTACTTTGCTTCTGGCAGAGAAACTCAGCTGGGTTTGAGGTCAGAAGAAAAAAAGCTGTAAGGCGAGCAACCTTGTAGTTCAGCAGACACAATGTCTGCAAGACACCTGGCACGCACATGGAGACACGTTCACTTCCTTAGAGTCAAAGATACTGTACGCTTGTGTGCGATCGAAAACTTCAAAGCCACATAAATTTAAGGCAAAAACTATAACTGCTCAACAGGAATGAATGTAAGTGGGATCAAATTTCTGAATAAAAGAAGCTTGAATGTCCTCTGCACAAACACATACACTAACTCACAGATACAGCACGGTGCCTGTTGTCAGGAATATGACACAGTCCAGCAGACCAGACAAGGGTCTCTGGTTTGAGTCTGTGCAGCCGACAATTAGTCGCTCCTATCTCCCCGATGAACTGGCCTGGTCTGGTGTGACACTGGCCAGGTCTCTCTGCCTTTTCTCTTTCTCCAGTCAGATCCTCCCCGCGCACAAGAAACATGAACACATCCCCTGCACGGCACAGTAAAAGGCCAACTCGGACAAAATATCCAGCAATGCAACAATGTGACATTTGCAGTAGTATCAACGTCTCCGCTGATGTCAGAGTGTAACATGCAGGCGCAGCGTGAAAGACAGACACAGCAGTTTCCCTCCTCTTCCCATATGTCTGGGATACTGTACAGCAGATGCACACGTCTTCTTCACCTAGTTTCTTCTGCTCTGCTTGCCATGTGGAAAAACTGATTACTATCTGAGGAAATGACAGCTGAGAGAGATAAGCCCCTTTCACACACAAAGTCACTCTAATTGCTCCGTTTTTTTAAAAAGAAATCTGGTTGAGGTCGCCGTTTTGGCTGTTCACACATGAATCCCACAGAGGAAAAAAAAAAGTATGCTCCAGATAATCACAGCCAATCCAGCTAGATTAAACTTTGTGGAAGAACACATTTGGCTCCATTGCACCAATTTTGGGGAATGCTGCAACTTTTTTCTCATAGTTGTTATCTTTTTTTTTCCTGCATACTGAGACAAACAACTATAGGACCAATATACATTTTACTAGTAAGGTAAGGAAAGAGAATGGTGAATGTGTAGTTTCTCTAAGAAAAGTCAAACCACACAGTCTTGGTTAAATGTTAAAATATTTCTAAACATAAGTACAAACTAGTATTTTTTAAAAGGCAATTAATATGTTGCCCATATGGCAGGAGACATTTTCTGTGCACAGGTAAAAGAGGCTTCTACCTCACTCAACAAGGATGAAGAGATAAGGATGAGGCACCATCTGTACAGCACAGAGCAGCTCTGGGATTTAGGATGGAACACACACAGAAACACACAAACTAGGCACATAAAGTGGACTATCTGCCACACTCACTCACTCACTCGTGAAAAAAAGGCATTTTTCACACACAAACACAAACACACAAAAATCCTCCCAAAGCACAAACTCATATTGGAACACGCTCAGTCCTACCTCCACTCTAGTGTAGAGTCCACTCAGTCCTTTGAGAAACTCAGCTGCAGTATTGGGGGTTTTGCTTTCTTATCCTTTGCTTTTTGGCCCTTCTTGTGACTCCGCACCTTCATATGTCAGGCATGTGTTTGCATTCCCACATATGTGAGCCCCAGTGTGGTGAAGGCCAGAGCCAAAGACACAGATGGCACCCAGATGGAGACAGATAACCGAGCAGACCAGCGAACACTGCACTACACGCACTCTTACTTACTTTAATTTCGCTCATGTGAAGCTCTCTCTATCTCTCGTACTATCTCTGCTACCGACTCCGCCACGGCTGCTTTACTTAATTCTCCCTCTTTCGCTGACTGAATTTCCGTCCTCTCTCACGCTTGCTCTCTCAAGCTCTGTCTCCCACCCTCTCAATCGCTCTTCTCCAGCTCTAGCTCCTCCCCTATTTTCCCACACACTGTCCCATCCTCTGTTTTCATGGGTCGAGTGTTCCAGCAACGTCACAACCCCCACTCCCCGAACCCCACTCCCCTTCCCCTGTGGATCCTGGCCAATCATCCACTGCTGACTGGCCCCATTCAACCTGCATTCAGTGCAATGGACCTTGCAATTAACATAACTAATTGCTTTGGCACCTAAAGGCTAAACAAGAGGCTGTGCCAAGCAAGACAAAAGTACATGCGTGTGTGTATGTGTAGAAGTGGGGGGGCACACTCTCTCCCACCCCCTCAAGTGAAGTGGGGATCTCCCCTTAAAATGTTTTTATACTAACAACCCTCCCTCCCTTTTTCAACCCTTTCGGTGTAGCCCCCTTTTTTTTTTCTTCAGTTCCTTAATGCAGCCAGCTCAATTCGCCTCGCCAGCAAATGGACTGAGGAGCACTTGATGAGCATGAATGAGTTATTCTTCTCTCCTCTTCTACTCTCTTGTCCTCTGCTCTCCATTTTGACTGAGTTAAACTTAAATCACTGCCTGATTTATGCACGAGTAGCATAAGTAGCAGGTTAAGATATTTGTGCCTAGCTGAGGCTGGGCAGTCCACACACACCCAGAGCAAATATGACCTGGATTCAGTTCATTTTAATGTTTTTTTTCTCACGTGAAATACTATGATCAGAAATACTATGATCAGAAATACTATGATCAGAAATACTATAATCAGAAATACTATGATCAGTTAAATAAAAGATCAAAAGTTAGTTTGTTTTTGTTTACTTTACTGTACTTTGATTGATTCATATAGCACTCTTCACAGGATGAAAACCACAAAGTGCTTCACAATAATATAAAACCAATAAACATAACACAGCACAATGAAACATACAGCACAAACCCTTTAAGACCTACCATAGAACCAAGTCCGCCAGAGCTTATATTATATTTTTACATGCTGTAGTGCCATTTTTGGGAGCATTTCAAGTTGCTATACATCAATACAACCATTATAGCCCAGATTTTAATAATATGTCTGCATTAAGTGCATAGTAATTACATAAATTGCAAAAAAGTGCAATAAACTACAAAAAAATTTAAAATCGTTTTTGTTTTTTTAACATATATTTCTAGTTAGAGAAATTTAAGAGGCTTATCCCTCAAAACTGTAAATACAAAAAAGGTGCACAAAATAGTTTCCCATCACAGGAAATTTATTTTGAGTGTCTTCATAGTTTTATTTTTGAAATACACCAATTTTTATACACTGCAGGAAAAACGAAAATAAATATTATAATGCAAATTTGCAAAAAAGCAGAAGGTGGATCAAAATAAACTATTTCCAGCAGTGCAGTATGAGTCCTAAGCATCCCAGAAACGACACAGAAAGTCATAAAGTCAAACATAACTTTTAAAAACACCAGTATAGGCTCATTGAGGCCCGGACAGTAAAAAACTACATTTCCGCGAAAATGACGTCACTTCCGGTTTCGGGCAGGTCATGGCGGACATGCGATAGTTCGCGCTGATGGCTAATCCAATGTAAGAAGTGTTATGAACAGCTGATCGGATCGGCAAAGTTTTTGTTGCTGCAAGCGCTTTTTATGCAGTTTTTACAAAGCTATATGTGGAAGGAAACTGTGACCGAGGACAAGCTGATGGCATAAGATGTAAGTACAACTCCTCCGGTTTCATATGCAAAACAAATTATTGCGCTAGCTCACGTGGTTGCAGAGCTACCAGGATTTAAAAATAGTTACGCAAAACAGAGCGTGCCCGCTCCGACCGGTTTTAAAGGGTTAAAAGCTAGTCTAAATAAATGAGTCTTAAGATGATGTTTAAAAGAATAAATACAATCCAGGCAACGTAAAGATGGAGGGAGAGAATCCCACAACCTGGGGGGCATCGCTGTGAAAGATCTATCACCTCTGGTTTTAAAACGTGTTCGGGGGACTACCAACAAGAGGGAGTGTGAGGTTCTAAAAGATCGGAAATATAGAGAGGAGCTTCACAATTCAAAGCTTTAAAAATCAGTACTAAGATTTTCAAATGAATTCTAAAATGTTCTGGAAGCCAGTGTAATGAGCATAAAACTGGTGTAATGTGCTCTCTTAATGTAACTAGATCACTTTAAACCACTTTATGGGTTTTGGATCAATTTGACCAGGCAAAATAATGAGAATGTGCATTTAAACCAGACAGGTGAACATAACGATCCAGCCAAGGATGTTCACACATACACAAAGAAAGGCAATGTGTGTTGAACTCTAATAGAGTTCAACACACATTCCCCAAACGACTTCTAAATATGGAACAATTTGCAATCTACCTGGTCCACAGAAGAGTGAACGGGACCCTAAAGGACAAAATTTAATGTTCTCAGTGAAACATGGTTCAAATGTTAGATTTTTAAGGCTTTTTGATTGAAGTTTTTGTGAAGTTTTCGAATCAAAGAATTGCTACAAACACATAGCAGTCAAAATCAGCCACATTATTACACAGCAATCATCCACAGTTGTTTGTGTTAAGATCAAGTAAACACAGAAAAGAAATGTACCTATAGTAAACTATACAGTCATAAAAGACTTCACTGGGGGTGTTGATGTTGCTGTGGGCTGTCAAAACCTAAATTGTACTGAATATTCTCCCTTAATAACCTCTTTCTCTGCTCCTCTGTTGTAGAAGGCCTGCTCTATTCAGGGTGCATCTGGTCAGTCAGCAGGCTCAGAGGAAAGACCAGGTGGTTGTGAGAAAGGGAGAGAGAGGGGGTGAAAAGGTGGGGAAATTAGGAAGCCCGAGCATATGAAGCTATACTGTTACCAGTACGTGATGGCAGCACATACTGGAGGAGCTAACGCCAGTGATAGATTTAGATGTACAAACATGGTCTTTAGTCTTTTCCACCATTATTGGCTTGAAAGTCCTCATTGAAAGCCCAAATTTAAGCAACGTCAAATCTGACCAACATAAATATTTTCAGAAAAAGGTTATGTTAAGGTTAATACACACAGCCAAAGCTTGGTCAGTGTATGCCATTTGCTTTATAAACATTCTTTTTCTAGGGTTAGCCAAATAAAAGACAGCTCTCTTAAGGCGAGAGTGTTCGTAAAAAAGGAATAGAGGCGAAATGATTTGTTTCAGTGCAAGAAAAATGATTACTTTGAGCTGTTGTATAATAAAAATACAGAGCTGAAAATGAGCATAATAGGACATTTGAAGGATAAATGATTTGCATATAAATACTAAATATACAAGGCTGCATGCTACATTACCCAAAAAGCTATCTATCTATCTATCTATCTATTTAATCTATTATTATCCCCTCATCTGTCTGTCTGCTTCAGCTTATCCATCTGTTTTCCTGCCTTTTGCCCCATTTTTTTTAATCTTTCTCCTTTTTTTGCTCATTTTAAGAACATTTTCAATGACTTTCAGGTGCTTAAAAATAACATAATTCCCAGTTGCTCTGCTCTGCTAGATGAAAATGCCACAATCATCACTCATCTAAAGGACATCTATCTATATAGATGTCCTTAGGATAGGATAGGATATCTATCTATCTATCTATCTATCCATTTTACCTGATCTTAGTTTTATCCTAGTTTTGATTGACTGATATTGTTTCTTTCCATCCTTATCGTCTGCCCCGCCCCTTAGTTTCAGCTGTGCTTGATTGTTTCCACCTCCAGTGCCTAATCACGAATCATCCCTGCGTATGTGTATATGTATATATTCTGTAACCAGCTCCATCTTTGTCTAGTTCTTCTCAAGTACCTCCTTTTGGATTTCTGTTTTACTTTCACTTTTTAGACGTGCTTTAATTTTATTTTGTTGAATCGACCATTGAAAGGTTCACATATAATGTATTTATTGTGCCTAAATTTCATTCCTCTCTTCAAAAGGTTTACATAACAGTGTCCAATGCATTGTTACACACTGTGATGGTTCAACTTTTCTTTTTACAACAAACCCTCTGCTGAGATTTTGAGATGCTGGTTGTCACTGACTATATAACAAAAGCACTCACTACACAAAAACTCTTTCCAGAAGGGTCCCAAATAAGGAAAACAATATATTCTATGTTAGCCTGTATTAGTTCTATAAAAACGTATCATGGTGCATTTATATATTTTATGCGTTCTTTTTACTGTAGCTGCTCAAGCCTCTTGCAGCTGTTTGTCATTGTGTGTATGTGTGAGAGATAAAGAGTGAGACTGAGACAGAACCAGAGACTGTGCAGCATCTGTTACTGTTCACACGCTCCCGAGCCAAACTTCTACTTTTAGAAAAAGTAAACAACATTTTTTAGAAAGGCCAGAAAAAAATTAGTGGAAGATGGATGAAAAGGGGAAATATATGGGAATATGGTGATTGGGTAAACAAGACGGAACATTAGGTCCTCTGTGTGTGTGTACACATTCAGGACCGCTGAATGTTGATGGGAAAGAACAGAAAAAAAGTTGAGCGTATCATGTGTCTATTCCTTCATTTGGATTGCTTTATTATACCCTGCTGAGTACTTGAGACCAATCCGAAATGAATTCCATCCAATCATTTTTAACACAGTTTTACATGGCTGGATCACTGAATGCATGTGTTTCTAATGAAAACTGTTTTCTAATGGGTCATTATTGTGATGACAGATATGTTTATAGCTCTACAGCATATACAAGTGGCACAAGTACAGAAAGTAGAATACCTCATACAAAAAACAGGAATGCAGAAATACAACAATAATGGAATCTGCCTGTATGATGCCTCACGTAAAGAAAATAATAATCCGACACATTAACAAAATTGAATGAATCCAAATATACCAGTGGTTCTAGAGGCTACTCACATGTTGATTGTGCATGCAAATAATTTACTGGGTAATGTGGCTGAATGTTTAAGGAACTTCAACTGAATGTTGAGGCCAGCCAATCATTTTACCTT